AAGACAGATTGGTTTGGGGGTTTTTGGCAGCCCATGGTACTTTTCATGATGGGCCCTAGTAGTTCTCCACAAACACTGGGGGCTTCATCCCTCGTTCCCTGATAACTTCCTGGCGCTCCTCCGGAACATAACATGGAGGACAGAGTGTCACTCTCATTAGGCCAAGCAAGCCAGCAGGGTGCTAGAATCCCAAGGAGCGATGTTATCTAGTCCTTGTTCACCACAGTACGTAGGCTCTGTCACAGCACTGGATGTGTGATGACTACGGTCATTTTGGACATTTCCTGTCCTGTGAGCATAATACTCTCTGGTATCCCACAGATGGAGTAGCCAAACAGCAAAGGATTTTCCCCTTCTGTCTATATCAAATGTCTAACTCTACTAGCTCTGCCCCAGTAGATTTCCACATGGTGACCTATTGCTGATGCTCAGGGACTGCAAAGTCCCAGGGATCTAGACTCAGTGATCCAGGTTGGTCTCTCTTAACCTCGGTCACTACAGCAGACCAGTGTCCCAAGGGACGCTATGTCCTTCCCCCACACATCCCTCCTTCTGAGTCCATAGAGAACATTAGAGGGTCCCAGTCTGCCTTCCCCATCACTGCTCACACTCACAGCCCAGATAGGCACTGTCCTTTGACCTTCACTAGGTGGCATACGTGGGTTTCGACGATGATTCTGGTGTCTGATGTCTGGTAATACAGGTGCTTCTTATTCTAATTGCAACTCCTCTCCCAGCGGCTGCACCTCCATTTGTGTGGCCATCTCAGCTTCCATGGCAACACAGACAGCCCACAAAAGGAGCCAGGTTACCAAGGCAACAAGCACTTTGATATCTTCCTAAGTCTTATCAACACCTACTACATTCAGGAATCGTAACAATCATTGTGGTGTTTTCGGGTCCCATCTGCAAGTGCTGGTCCTCAGGTTTCAAATCACTGTATTAAGGGATAGGTGCCCTGCTGGCATCGTGGTTTTACATTGGGCTGCTAACCACAAGGTCAGCAGTTCAAAACCACCGGCCACTCCAAAGGAGAAGGATGGACTGTCTACTCCCATAAAGAGTTAAAGTCTCAGGAACACATAGGGGTAAGTCTATCCTGCCTTACAGGGTAGTTACGAGTTGGAATCAACTCAACGGCAATGAGTGAGTGAGTGCTAACGGATAACATATGAAGGTCGCTGGCCATCCTGAGATTTCTCCCACAGAGTCCTGTCTCCCCAGCACATTTCTGAGGCCCCAGAGTTTTTCAGTTCTTGGCTGGCTCACCAATTATTTGGGCTGAAGATCAAAAGAGGGAAAGACACCCTATGTGTACAGGCCAAAAGACAGGAAAACTGACCCGGAACCAGGCAAAGAGACTTTAGTTTATTTGCATTAGAGGCTTACAGACTGGGAAAGCAGTACTGCATCCTGCAGCAGCTGCCCGGACAGGAAAGGATCCACTCTGGGTAGCCAGGGAGGCTCTGATTGTGCCACTTAAATGACTTTGAGGGAGATAAGTTATTTGCACTATGATTTTAGGTACCGGAAAGGCATCTGGCTGTGCTCCAGCCTGGCTATATGCAGGAGGCAAAGGGCCATATGCTCCGAGTGACCAGGAGGGCACAGTGGGAATGCCTGCTTAGCTGAAATACAGTCACTTTGCACATTTACCTAGTATCCCTACAGATGTGCAAAACTATACGTGAAGTTACGTTGAAGAAGGTGGAATTTCAGGTGTTTGAAAGGTGGGGTACATTGGGATTGAAATCTCTTTTTACATATCAGATGTATTATCCTACAAGGTTGAATGGAGATTTGGGGAGAGAAGCATGTATTTGGAGTCATTGGTGTGGTGGTGATATGTAATACAGTCACACTGAATGAAATTACCAAGAATTATCTTGTTGATATAAAGTAAAAAAGAGCACCAGGACCTGAGTCCATAGTTAACAGTAAGGAGGGAGAGCTGGCAAAGAAGGCAGAGGACCAAAATAAGAAATGTTGCTACCCTGGAATTCAAGGGAAGAAAGTGGGGTCATATCCGGAGGGAGTAAAGAACTCTCAAAGATTACAGATACGTTGAGTTAGTAGAGACAAGACCTAAAATTGCCCTTTGGCTGCTTTAAGGCAGAGGTCATTGGGAGTGACCCTGAAAAGAGCCGGTTCGGTGACAAGGTAAGACTGAAAGTTTGAGTGCAGTCAGTTTCAAAAAGGAGTTGGAAAAGGGGACCGAACTTTAGTGAGTTTTTCCAGCAAAGGCAAGAAAAAGAACATGGCAGTGGCTGAGTGGGAAACTACAGTGTGAGTGTTCATTGTGGGCCAGCGATTAAGTCTGTCTTTAAGGTTATGCTGAGACGCTAGTGGAAGGTTAAGAGCACTGCATACTCCAGATGGAGAAGCCACAGGTGGGCCGAATGCCTATCACTGTTACATCCCCATGCAGCTAGAAATCCAAGCCTGACCTCAGAGTCTGGTGCAGACCAATTCTATCGAGTCCCCTCCTTTATTCAAGGAACTGCAATACACGCTCACTGGATTAAAATTTCTCCAGGCCTCAGATGGTTATGTACCCATAACATAGAGGGATGAAACCTATCCGTCATGTTTTTGACGAATCTTTTAACCTAATGTAAACTGTCTGAATTCCATTTGGAGTACATTGCAGGTGCCTCTGAGGGCAATCCCTCTCACGGTGACCCTCCGTCGGTCAGAGTAGAACAGCGTTCCATAGGACTTTCGGTGGCTGGTGTTTTGGCCCCAGAAGTAGATCTTCAGCTCTTTCTTCCAGGGAGCCTCTGGGACAGGTCAAACACGAACCTCCAACTTTGGGGTTAGCAGGGTGAACCGCTCGCACCGCCTCAGGACTCCATACACAAGTGGGAAATGTCCGGTGGGCCACAGAAGACCCGTGAAATCATCGCTACCTGTTAACATCATACACTTCCCCAAAGGGAAGCAGTTAGAGCCATTGCATTTGGGATGGGTTCATTAAGTGCTTGGCCGTATGGCCAGGAAATGATGTTATAAATATCCAAATGGCCCCCAAATGGTTCCCCACCCCTGGGAGGGGGACGGCGGGAGGCAGTGCATACTAGATGAACAAAGAAGCAAAGAATACAGGTTTGATTTTTCCAGTATATTTGGGTGCTGTCATGAAACTGAGGGCCATCAACGTTGGCAGCCACCAACCACTGGGAGAAAGAAAAGAGATTTCCAAGGAGGACTGCACTTGCATGGAGATTTCAGTTCTTTCAGTAGCAGCTTTCGCTCCCTGTGATGTTCTTCCCAGATTTCATAAGTCTTCCGACCATTGCCGGGCAGATATTAGCTCTAATGTCACCTTCTTTCTTTCTTTTTTTCTTTTTTTTTAAACATTTTATTAGGGGCTCATACAACTGTTATCGCAATCCATACACACGTCAATTGTGTAAAGCGCATTTGTACATCATTCTCAAAACATTTTCTCTCCACTTAAACCCCCGACATGAGGTCCTTATTTTTCCCCTCCCTCCCTGCACCCCCCTCCCGCATGAGCCCTTGATAGTTTATAAATTGGTATTTTGTCATATCTTGCCCTGTCCGACGTCTCCCTTCACCCACTTTTCGGTTGTCTGTCCCCCAGACAGACACATGTAGTTCCTTGTAATTGGTCACATGTAGTTCTTTGTAATCGGTTCCCTCTTTCCTACCCATTCTCCCTTTACCCTCCCTGTTTCGCCACTCACACCACTGGTCCTGTAGGGCTCATCTTCATAGACCGTGTTGAACACCTCTTAGAATTTGCTGCCCTCAAGGTATCTTCTGTCACATCACCCGATTTCACGGTCACGTTCCTTTTATCTTACTATAACCTGAACGTCTCTTCTCTATACATATGTGTCTATTGCCTGCAGACTTATTTACTTCCTTACCTGTTTGTTGCCACCCTATTGACTAGGCTTTGTCAGAGTCCCGGTCGTTCTGGGGAAAGAGAGTTGTTCTGATTACAGATTATGAATAACATTTTTGAGTGTCCTAGCAAGGTTGACATGGATTTTAAAACAAAACAAAAACTCCATTTTTGAAACAGGAAACTCTTGCCCTTTCAACAGTGCCAGGATCTGAAGAAGAACTCGGGATGGCCAACCTTTGAAAGACAACAAGTGTTTTTAAATCTTTTCTGATAATATTTTCAGTGAAATTATATTAAGCATGCATTGCATACACGTGGAATCACTAAATTAAGGCCATGTATATTTTTTCATCATAAAGTTCATAGATAGAGTAACAAGTTATTAAATAGAACCAAGTAAAATTGTTTCTCCCTGCATGGCATAAAATAATGCTTAAACTATCCCTTCCTCCCATCTCAAATACAAGTGTCACATTAAATAGAGAGCGACTGTGCTTATTGTTAGTTGTTGTTGGATGCTGTTGTGTCATTTCTGACTTATAGCAACCTTGCGTATGACAGAACAAAATGTTGCCTGGTCCTGCACCATTCTCACGAAGGTTATGCTTGCAGCCACCGTGTCAATCCACCTAGTTGAAGGGCTTCCTCTTTCTTGTAGACCTTTGACTTTTTTAGCAAGCATGACTGTCTTGTTTTCCAGGGACTGGTCTGTGTATGTATTATTGCGTTATTTCTGTAATAGGAGCCTTGGTGGCGTAGTGCTTATGCATTGGGCTGCTAACTGCAAGGTCAGCCATTCAAAACCACCAGCAGCTCTGAGAAAGAAAGAGGGGACTTTCTACTCCTTGAAAGGCGTGACAGTCTCAGAAACACACGGGGGCCGTTCTACCTTGTCCTGTAGGGTTTCTATGAGTTGGCATCCACTAGGTGGCAGTGAGTTTGCTTGGTTTTCAGTGTATTTCCACAGGCTACTACAGCACTACAATAGAAATTTGGTACTGAGCCAAATTTCTCCCCAAAATTCAATCGCTATTCGATGGGCTTCAAGCATGTTAATAAAATTGTGACAACACTCTCTTAAGGGAAAAGTTAATGTAAAGATACCCCTTCTTTTTGTTTCTAGTATATTATATCAGGAATATTTGCAGTCGAAGCCGAGAAGAAGCGTACCCAATGCCTAGTAAGTCAGAATGTCAGTGACTAAAGCTTCATTTGTTCAAAACCAAACGACTGAAATTTAAAATACTAACTTGCAAAGCTTTTTAAATGGATATGTGCTAATAAAATCATTTTCTAATTTCATGAGACATTGAAGTAATACAGAGTGCATGAAGCAAACCAGAACTTCAGAGATGGGTATTTAAGTAGGATAAGTCATTTATTGCACATTAAGATGTCAATTCTGATAAAAGTATGTATGTCTGGATATCAAGAAACTATGAAAGGGAAAAACATCCTGGTGGCATAGTGGTAATGAATTGGGTTGCTAACCACAAGATGAGCAGGTCAGAACCACCAGCCACACTACAAGGGAGAAAGAGAAGCCATTCTATTCACATAAAAAGCTACAGTCTTGGGAGGGAGGAGAAAAAAAGAGTAGCTTCTACCAAGGGCTTAAGTTGAAAGAAACTGTTTTAGAAATGATGATGATAACATATATACAAATGTGCTTGCTACAATTGATGTAGGAATTGTTAAAGAGCTGTAAGAGCTCCCAAGAAAATGACTTACTAAAATTAAAAAATTCTTTATGGGAAGGGGAGGGATATATTGGAATGAGTAAGATATGTCATTAAAAATATTACTGCGGGTGGGGGGGAAGCTACAGTCTTGGAAACTCCCAAGGGCAGCTCTACTCTGTCCATTATGAGTCAGCATTGACTCATAGCAGTGAGTGAGAGAATAATAGTAGTTAAGATGTTGGCACCAGGTCTCTACAGATGTTTGCATATTGTCTCACAATAAACCCTTATCCAGTAGAAAACAAACCCTTACAACAAACCCCACCACTACATAGATTTGAAAAACTGAGATCCCAAGAGTCTAAGCAAACTCTTTCGAATGTCCTGAGAAACTGAGATGCTTTTGCTATCCTTAAGCCTGCAGCAGACCACACCTGACAGTACTAATGAAGTGACTCAGGAGGGGGATGGCCAGACCAGAAAGACCATCTATCAACTGCTATCCACTCACCTGGGGTGGGAGTCAAAATTCAACCCATCCTGACTATTAATAAGGTCCCAATAAAGGCTCTGCGCATGGACTCTCCACTGGTTTCCAGGGGTGGTGAAAGACACACATTTGGGAAATGAAAATTCTGTAATGGAAACCCTCCCAGAACCCATCCTGTGCTTCTCTTCATTTGTATCCTTCATGTAATAACAAACTTGTAATTGCAGCTAGAGCAAGAGAGAAAAGAGAAAGATAGGGAGGAAGAGAATGAGAGTGAGACTAAGGAGCTAACTCTAGATCATATAATTTGCAAACAACACTGCTTCACTTGGAACCCAGACAGTTTGCTTCTAGAGCCCAGACACTTAACCATTGCTTAGATTATATGGCAAAAAGAAGAAGAAGTCTATCAGTAGGAAAGGCTGGGAGGAGAGGGTGACGATGGGGCCATGCAATCAGAAGAGAAAGGACTGACCAGCAGGTCCTGGCTGAGGGTAACTCAGAAGAACCCAGGTGTTCTATAAAACCACCAAAAGAAAGCAAAGTATGTAGATTTCCCTAAATGTTTGCCTTCTCTGTTCTCATTTCTTCCTCCGTTTCGTTATTTCTACCCATAACCACTTTCCTCTGGACAAAAAGTGTGCAGTGTTGCTTAGCGCACTATGCTGGTGGTAAGTTCTCTCAGTTTTCTTAGTCTGAAAACAACCTAATGCTGTGGTTTTCTGAAATATTCTTTAGCTGTGCAGAGAATGCAACAGTCTGAAAAGGCTTGTATTTCATCACATGCCTGGTGTCATTCTACCATGCTGTGGCTTCCATCCTTGCTCTTGTGAAGTTTGAGTCTTAGTTTTGTCCCTTTTACCATAATATACCTTCTTATCACAGCAGCTTTTACAATACCCCCTCTACCTTTCATTGTCATCAGATTTACTATGATGTGTGAGTTAGTTAATTGTACCTACCTGGCCGATAATCACATGTGGGGCTAATTGAAAGGTGGAGGGATAGATGGGTGGTGAGCCTCGCCTTTCTAGTTCTCTGGTCTCTTGTTTTGTGATGGTCGCACCAGGGTGCAGCTGCCTTAGCAGTTCCCTGCTTCAGCTTGCAAGATTGACTTCCTACA